AAAATTCTAATTTTACAAATGCAGAGTCTTACTTCTCTTTGAGCACACATTTTCCTATATTTTAAAAGTTTTATGTCTTATGCTGACCCAGGATCTTTTAGCAGAGTCTTGCATTCTGGTCATGCTGTGTGCCTTCTGGTTTTGCAGTTCAGAGTTAATGTCTTAGGAACCCTTTCTGAGGAGGCCTTCTGTGTTAAAGGCCTTCTGCATCAGGTCACGCATCGTTGAGTGGGCATTGTGTGGGGACAGGCAAAAATATGGTGACTAACAAGTTTCTTGAAGCTGGTGTCCTCCTCTGTCACAGGTTTGTTGTAAGCTCCACAGAAAGCTTGTTCGGAGTATGCACTCTAGAAGAAAAGGTTCTTTATAACCTTAATGCTACGTTCACACCGGACGCGAATCGCGCGTCAAATTCGCGCCTGACGCGTCTAGTTTGACGCTTGACCACTAGTAATTCGCGTGTCAAGAGCGAAACTGCCGCGCGTAAAGTTTGAAGCGAAATTTACGCGCGTGACGCGCGTCAGAATCAAAATCCGTTGGCGGCCATTGTTTTTATGTCGACCGAGCATTCATCAAGAGAGTTACCGCTCTGTATTTACTCTGGAGAGCTAGAACAGTGGCGTGGGGATCATCGTCGCCGTATATTTGTGTCCACCGGATCCTTCAGAGCCGAACCGTTTGGCGAGTTTCACCATTTGCTCGCTCCAGGAGCTGCGCTGGATGACGGCCGCTGTCAGCGGTACTTCTGCCTGTCACGCGCCCAGTTTGATGACCTGTTGTCCCGCATCTGAGCGAGGATCACCCTCGCCCTCATCCATCTAATCTAGCTGTCATTTATTTTTGTTTTGATGATAAATAGAGCCAGCCTTCAAAAGTTATTAACCTGTCCTGTGATTTTTTTCTCTCTCTCACGTCCAGACACGAATTTATGCACATATGTTGATTGTCTTTAGGCTACAACATACTATTTCTAGATATGGAATGAATAACATTCAATACAAAATGAACATGTCTCGTATATAGAAAAAATGTTTTAAGTGATGAAACATTTGCTTTGTTGTGCATAATCCCACCATGCATTTAGTCATATACAAAATAATTTATTGAAGCATCCAGACACTTCACCACGTGAGCAAGCAGCTAGGCTCCTGATTGGTCAACGCGGCGCGAATTCACGCCAAAGTTCAGATTTTTCAACTCGGGCGGCAGACGCGAATTCGCGTCAAACGCGTAAATGCACAACGCTCAATTCGCGCCATTCGCGCCAACTTGACGCGCGAATGAGGCGTATTCGCGTCTTCCGCGCCGCGCTCCACGCCTCATTCGCGCCGCAGGAATTTTTCACGCGCGTAAAGCATCTTTGCATTGACTTAACATTGAAATCATTCGCGCCTGACGCCCTATTCGCGTCCGGTGTGAACGTAGCATTAAAGGTTCTATCAGCGCTATATTTGGAACCCCTAAAAGGTTCTATACACTCTTAAAAAAGGGTTCCCCTGGGTTCATGGGTTTATATAGAACCCTGGGGTTCCATACTTGGCCAATAGAACCTTTTACCAAAAAAAAAAAAAGGTTCTTTATAGACCATTTCACAAGATGTAAACAACACTGGTCCAGAAGCACTTCCTGTTTCAGTTTTTTAACACTACATAAAAGCTGGGATAAAATACAACCAACAGAACATTTAAAACTGAATCAAAAAGTTAAACAAACATCTTTAAGATGTTTTCTTTACATGTGAAATAAAGAAAACCGTTACAAACTTAAACAGGAAGTGCTTCTGGACCAGTGTTGTTTACATCTTGTGAAATGGTCTATAGAACCATTTTGGAGTTCCATATATGAAGCGGGGGATGGAACCATTTTTGGGCATGGGCAGGTGCGTCCCCAAATTGATAAGACGGCAGCGATTGTGACCTGTCCAAGAACTAAGGCCACTGGCCAACCCAAAAGCACCTTTGTGCCCTCTTCCTTTGATAGAGGTCCCCTTCTAGAGAATTGATATGGACCTCATCGGGCCATTAGAGTGATCTGCATGGCGACATCGCTTTGCTTTAGTCTTAGTGGATTATGCAAAGCAATATCCAGAAGCAGTACCCCTTCGTACTATTTCTGCAAAGATTTTTAATTAATCTTTCGGGTGGGAATCCCGAAAGAGATTCTCACAGATCAAGGCACAGCGTTTATGTCACAAATGATTTGCGAACTTTACGAATTATTGGGCATTAAATCGATCCGTACCAGTGTCTATCACCAACAAACAGACAGGCTGGTGGAACGTTTTAATCACACGTTAAAATCCATGATTCAAAATTTGATGCCAGAAATTGGGATAAATGGCCATAACCCCTCTTGTTTGCTGTATGCGAGGTCCCCCAAGCCTCCACAGGGTTTTCCCCCTTCGAGCTCCTCTATGGACGTCAGCCTCGCGGGGTCTCAGACGAACTAAGGGAGACTTGGGAGGACGGACCTTCGAGTAGCAAAAATTAAATTCAATATGTCATAAATCTGAGAACAAAACTTCACACTTTGTGGCAGCTCTCTTTGGAAAATTTGTTACAGGCCCAGGACAAAGTCGGCTATACAGCAGGGGGGCTTGTGTTGCCATAGTTTTCTATGGTGAAGGCGATCGTGCGCATCTCTTGCTTTCTGTTTTCTACATTTTTAATAAAAGTGTACGGGACCCAGTCACACCGACCCTTGTCTTCTTCCATCCTTATTATTTTGAACTTGAACATCATTACATTCGATTTCCAAACAGATGGAAATGGTTAAATACTCTAAATGTTCCGATTCAAATCTGACTTGTAATGCTGCCCGAACCATACTTCGTTGGCCCGAGGAGAACTGGCCCCCGACTGAGTTTTCTCCATTCTGTCACTTAAGTTTTGGTTCCTTGCCACTGTTGACTTGGCTTTTGGCTTGGTTTGTTGGGGACATTTAATATTCAACAATATTATTGATCTGCCTTACTTAAGGTGGACGTCGACACAATTTTCTTCTAGAAACAATCTGTGTTGTATTATTTTCATGTTATCACTGTGAAGCTGCTTTGATACAATCTATTTTGTAAAAAGCGCCATATAAATAAAGGTGACTTGACAATAAATGGAAAGAAGACTAAAATATTTCTTTCAAAAACTGCCGGAGTTGACAAAGATCCACCTGAGGTTACAACAACTTATTGATAATACCACATATAAAGACAGCTTACTATTTTTTTTAAGCTAATATTTAATTTAATGCAACAATCTTTCCAGTGTTTTGTTTTTCTCATTTTAGCTGTACAGCACGTCTCATTCTCTCCAGGTCACAGAATACAAGAAGCTTATCTGCAGGTTAAGTGTATAAGCATAATTATGTGCAACCCTGTAGCAACAGAAATGTTCCCAATGTGAATCCAAAAGATCGTTAGCCTGTATTTAATCCACATCAATTACGTTCATTTTATTTGTGTCGACCTGCATGACTTAAGCAGAGCGAAATGACATTGGATATTGATATTGCTGTGATCTCATGTCAGTGACATTTTGTAAAAAATGTTATTCATTATTGTAATAATTATAATAGGAACTATTCCATAAAAAAAGAATCATCAATTTAGAATTCATGGTGACAGTATTAGTACAGATGCTACAGATAAATTAGTAAAGATGAGACATAAGACAAATCAGGCCAAATATAAAATCATTAAACAACATTAGAACAATTCCCCATTTGGTTACTAAAGGTAACATATTATATTGAACATATTACATTGTACTTACACTGTACGTAATATTTATGTACTAGTAAGTTTTAAGTTATATGTACTAGTTACGGTTGGGTTAGGGTAAGGGTTTGGTTTAGTTACAATGCATAATTAATTTACTATTAAAGTAATATTAATATTACTATTAATTAATTTACAATAATTATTACTAATAATTTACAATCATAATTTTTTTTTATGTCTGACAGAGTTGTACGCTGATGGAGACTGATGGTTGACATGTTAAAGCTGTGAGTGCAGAGACTTTGTTAGAGACAACATTGTGTGCATAAAATAAAAAAAGATAAAACTTTCAGAATGAGTCCTACCTTTGATACTGTGAGAAGTCCTCAGAGTTAAAGATGACCGTGACATTGCCTGATTTATCCAGAATTATTAAAGAACGGAGTTGAAGCAAAGTGTGGACACAACTTTGATAGGCATTTATTTAATAAAAAAAATATAATTCAAGATTTACTTTTTGTAGGCTTTTGTTTGATACATTACAGATGTCTGCCTTTCAATTTAAATGTATATTTTTTGAATTTGTTGCATTTTTAACACTTTGTTTGCAGCATTCACAAGTATAGAGAATGTATTTAAAATAATAAAGCATAAAAATAATTTAAAAAAATTAAATTATTTAAAAATAAAAGCAATGAATGTCCCAAGTATCCAGATTTCCTTTAGATGTAACTTTTTAAGTATTTTATTTTATTACATTTTTTTTTTTTTTTTACTAATCTCTTTATTTTCAACATAAAGAGGGCTTTCGTGTGTAGGACATGTTTTGTCTCAAGAATCAGTGATTACCTTAATTGTGTGCATTTAGGATAGGCCAACAAAAATGAGTTTGCCACGTGATTTTTTTGTTGTTGTTGTTTACCACAGGATGTTATCGAGATACATAGAACTTTAATGGTTTCAAGAAAATGACAAAAAATGTCCCTCCCTGTGATTACAGTTAATCCACTGTCGGACATTAGTCTATTTAAATTAAACAAGAGGAGATTAATACATTTTAATTGAGTTCATTGAGTCCACAAGGCCATGTTCAAGAACTGTCCATCGTTCAAGAAACATCAAATAATGCTAGGTGAAGAAGCACTGTGTATGATACCTGATTAGGCTACTGTAAACTGTTGTTTTTAGGGCACTTCAGACCACCCATTCTGCGCGGAGCCTCCAACACTCGCCAAACGTAGCCCACGTAAAATGACTTACACTCGCGCATGCGCAGTGCCCCCTAGCTAAATGCTAATGCTAGCACACACTATTTTGCAGCGGCCCCAGATAGCAACAAAATTAACCAACAAATAACCCTAACTCCGATTGTACTCTTTAATGCGAAATTTAACTTTACATCATCCTACGATACGATGGGCCGTTAAACGTGCTTTATATAGTTAAAGTGTGGTTATTGAGTGAAGAGGGGAGATTATTTTGGCGCTCGGGCGGATTTGTGCTAGTTTGGCTAATGATTCTTACTCATCATAAAGTTAACTTTTGAACCTGTGATAATATGTGGAATATTAATCGATGAAAAGTACCCATCCTGATTGATCACAAGCTTATCGTAAGTATTTTCCACATCTATTTAATAGCATATGTTTATCTAATTTAGCTAATCTTATCAGATGTATATTAGCTGGGCTACGTTAATCCAGTGGAATTCATGCATTAAGTTGATATGTGAAAGAAATACACAACAAAAATGAGCCATTGAAACTTTATTTGGTTTATTGTGATTTGATCGAGTAACAATAATTTGTATTTTATTCTACTTTTATTTTGAGTCTTGTCAGTTGATGAATGTTCAGCTTTAGATGTTTCGTGATTTTAATTGAATGTGTTTAAATGTAAGTTACACATTTGAATTGAACCCTGCATTGAAACTATCTCTGCTAATGTAAACTGTGTGCTGCTTATTATTATAAGGAGTATGTGTATGTACTGTTTACGTTTTTTATAGTGTATTATTAAATATTTTACATAAAATTCATGTAAATTCAAACCCCAGTCCGCCTATTAAAATGTATGTGGTGCGAGTCATGCAAAAGAAAAAAAAACAAAACTGGAAAATATGTCGAGATAGAGAGCCTCTGTGGACGCTTATGTCTATGTGTCAGGGTCAATAAAATATCAGATAATGAACTAACCTCAGGCAAGGTTAGTTCAGGATGCAACGTCACGTGGTGTGACTATATAGATTTTTAAAATACCCTTTAACTTAAAAAAAATATTAAAAACATTTAGTTCAGAAAAAAATGGTCAAGATATGTGCATTTATGGACTGTAAGGTTTTAGGAAAATGTCTTATTTTTTACTTTGTTATAATTAGGGCTACGTCTACAATAATCCGGATACATCTGAAAATGGCGTTTTCGTTTCAATAATGCTCTCTGTCCAATCCACTCACATTTTAAAGCGTTTTACAAAAGTTTCTCGTCCACACTCACACGAAACACTCGGAAAACACTAAATTAACCTTTCTGCACATGTGTATACACTCACTGTGTTCACTGGGGCAGAACAAACGTCATAAAGTTCCCACACTATTTTTCTGGTACGATCATTTTATTTAGCAAAATTTCTCACCATTCACTGATGTGTCCAGGTCTCACTCAGTCACCAATTATATGTTTGGTCTAAAACACAACTGCTCGTGTTTTGCCGCAGGACAGCAAATGTGAGTATATTTTCTGTCATCTTTGCAGGACTGTTATACAAAGATGTACAAATTAACATATTTTAGCAACTGTTTGAAAGTGAATTGCACATAACAGGCACAATACCGGTATAAACATGATTTTCTATCAGTACAATATGCGTCTCATGACTAAAGATCCACTTTGGAGAGCGTTTTCAAAAAGCTTTGTTTTCGTTCTTGAAAATAGCATTTCAGTGTGGACGGAAGGACTAAATGGAGAGAAAAAGATGAGTTTTCAAACAAAAATGTATTGGGGTATGACATGTTTACATGACAAGGATGTACTTAAAACAGAAGACAACTTTTGTCAAAATGATACCCAACACGGATCTGCAAAAATGATTAAAAAGGCTGCATTATGCATGCCAGGCCAGTAGTGGGCAATGTCCCTTTTTTAAGAAACTCCCTGCGAGCACACAATACGCATGCGCATGACGTCACCGTTTTCACCTATTCACGTTTTTGTTATTTACATGGAGAAGGTAAAGGCATTGTTTTCAAAAGTTTGCACTTTAAAACCTGTTTTTAAAAGCTTGTTTGTCACCGTTGTCATGTTAATAAATGGCCAAAACATGTAAAAAAAAGTTTTCAGCTTTCAGTTGAAAATGGTGTCGTGTAAAACACAACAATCTCAGATCTTGGCTCATTGGTTTTAAATGCATGATTTACAAAAAAACAAAAAAAGTTAAACTCCAAACTGATTAAACAGTTGGTCATTTTATTTTCCCGGTACAGTGTAGTGTGTTGCATTGTTAAAATGAATTAAAGGAGTAGTTCACTTTTAAAAAAAAAACTTTTGCTGATAATTTACTCATCCCCATGTCATCCAAGATGTCCATGTCATTTTTTCTTCAGTCGAAAAGAAATTAAGGTCTTTGATGAAAACATTCCAGCATTTTTCTCCATATAATGCACTTCAATAGGAACCAAACGGTTCAAGGTCCAAAAGAAAGTTTCAGTGCAAACTGTTCAAAGGGCTTTAAACGACACCAGACGATGAATAAGGGTCTTATCTAGCGAAACGATCGCTCATTTAATAAATAAAAATCAAAGTTTTAAGTTTTATAAGCTCAAATGCTCACCTTGCTCTGTTCTGTGATGCAAGTTTCTTGACTCTCCTATTCTTTTCCAGAGTCAACTCGTTCGTTGAATGAACCAAATGACACGAAAAAGATTTGTTCATTTTGATAAACGAGTTTGAACAGGAGAGTCATGACAGAACTTGCTCTGTTCTGTGATGCGTGTGCATCACAGAACAGAGCAAGGCGACCATTTGAGCTTATAAAACTTAAACTTTGTTATTTTTTTTAAATGAGCGATCATTTCGCTTGATAAGACCCTTATTTATCGTCTGGTGTCGTTTAAAGCCCTTTGAACAGTTTGCACTGAAACTGTCTTTTGGACCTTGAACCATTTGGTTCCCAGTGAAGTGCATTATATAGAGAATCCTGTAATGTTTTCATCAAAAACCTTAATTTCTTTTCGACTGAAGAAAGAATGACAATGGATATCTTGGATGACATGGGTGTTAGTAAATTATCAGCAAAAGTTTTTTTTAAAGTGAACTACTCCTTTAACTATGAGAGGAACTATTATTTTAGTTCGTAATTGTGAAGGTTAAACAAGTATCTGTAAAATCATTCAAATTAGAATGCTGTGTTTTCCCTTTAAGGTCATAAAGATCAAAGGTGGTCAGTTTTAATATCATGGAATCAAATGATTGAGTGTAAGAAGTGAATTGCTTTATGAAAATATTTCAGGAATGTTTCATTTTCCAAACCATTTTTTTTTCAATTAAGAAAGCTCACCTCTACCTCCTGTCAGAGGCTTGTTCTCACAACTTAAAGGCTACATACACACACACTCGGCTAAATTCAGTTGCCAGTTCACCGTTAGTGCTTAATCCTGTTCTGTACACACAAGAGTTTAGTCATCTATGGTAATCTATTAGTATAACATTTATTTGAATAATATTTATATTTCACAGAAATGTATTTGACAAAGAACTGCATGGTTACTGTTAACATCCAGGCAGCCTATGACTATAAATCATTAGAAAGGTCTAAGGATTTATTATAAAATATTATCTAATAATTATAAAAATCTGAGACTTTTAAATTTTTTTTTGGGAGGTATGCAAAATCAAGAATGACTCTATCTTAAATATGAAATTTGAGCCTTTTATGCATCCAATGTGGGGGAAAAACCTGCACACTGGAGAAAAACATATGGATTATCATGTCAATTTCTTTGGAGAGAAGGATTACTTTTCCTTTTTTCCCCCAAAATAGGATTGAGTGAGCATTACTGAGCGCTTTACACACGTCTGTTTCATTCATACTGGAAGAAAATTTACATGTCCACTTAATCGTTGCCCAAGGCTCAGCTTACTGTATTTTAGGGATGAGCGAGTACAGCATTATCTGTATCTGTATCTGTATCTGTTAACCATATGAATTATCTGTATCTGTATCTGTACTCGGACTGGGCGGGGCCTAAACCCGGAAGTGGGTCGGGTAGTCTTGAAATGGGCGGGGCTTTAACCGGTATGTTATTTTAAGCATGCAATTGATATGGGTTGATCTGAAATTGCTTTATTTTTTGCTGATAAGAAATAAAACTATTTACATGACAGCATCAGCATTGAGCTTCAGATCAATGGTTTTGATCACGATAACAAACGAACTACAAAACAAGTTTTGCAACAATGAATACAACACATGTGGCTGCAATTATGAAGTAAAATGTAATGAACAAGAGTATTCATCTCAACTACGGCTGGGTGATATGGACCAAAAGTCATATCCCAATATATTTAGGCTGAATTTCGATATACAAAATATATCCCGATATTTTTTCTGCAAAGTGAGAGCAAATGTTCAGTCAAAGCCAAATATGACATGTCACAAGTATAGTTTTATTGAAACTTGAACATTTGCCAAACCAAATGAATAAATAATAAACAGGTTTCTTCACCTTAGGGCTGCATGATTAGCTATGACAAAAATCTTCATTGCAGATTATTCCCTTGGAATTGTAATTGTGATTTATTAATTGGTTTATTTATTTTGTTAATACAACGTTGGTATGAGCCATTACAGTCATTAAAAAAATATAAAAAATAACACAAAGAAAAATAGGGGCATTAAGGGGTTAATATAGAAACGACAGTTACTATGGTGAATAGTGAATACACAATACTAACAAGAACTGTTTATGAAACATGGAAACTGCTCTGGTGAATAGAATGAAAGTCATAACTGCATTGCTTTTATTTCGTGTAATTTACAACGTAACGGTGTTGCATGCTCGTATAGTTTCTTTTGCACTTTATATACAGAGGCGATCCAGCGCGCGCCGCCGCATTTGCGCGTGCAATTGAGTGTGCGCTACGACTAACGTTACAGTATAACGGGTGACAGGACAGAAAGTCCGTTTTGCTGAGGTGAAAGACTTTATTTCATAACATAACATGCTTTAATCAAGCACGCAAAGTGGAAAAGGAGTGGCTGGGGCGCGGGGAGCAGTGCAGAGAGCTCTGGATCAGCACTCAGCAGCTTGCTTGGAGCAAGGATCACAGCGCAAACCTGAATAGCCTATATCGATATGCAATATGGTTTAATTACATATCACATTTAAAAATATATATATATATATTATATTGATATATCGCTCAGCCTTAATCTCAACATAACTTTTTTTTTTTTTTATCCGAGCACAGATATTGACTCGTATTACTCGTATAATATTCGTACTCGACAAAAGTGCTTTATCCGTACCGGATACTCGTTTCAGCCGAGTATCCGGCTCAACTCTACTGTATTTATAAGATATAATTCACCCAAAAATGTAAATTCTGTCATCATGTACTCGCCCTCATGTCGTTTCAAATCTGTACGATTTTTTGTTCAACTTCCAAAGACAAATGAAGATATTTTTTTATGAAACCTCATACCTGAGAGATTTCTGTCCATTTAAAGTTTAGTACTCTAAAACTTAAGATCCAAAACTAATCAATCTAGTGGTCTAATCTAAATCCAAGTCTTCGGAAGAGACATGACAGGGTTCTACGCTAAGGGTTTTCCCAGAGGAAAAGCGCAGTGATAATTTTTCAAGTAACAGTTTAACAAACTATATATGAAGAGCTCTTTTCCAAAACGCGTTAAACGCCATTTTTAAAAAAAATGAGTTTGTCGTGTCATTCTGCTGTGGACAGAACCCTTTCACTGCTCCATCAACGTTTCATGCCAAATCGCTATATTTCCTTGTTTAAAATGTACTGCAAGATACAGTTTCTTTCCAAACCACGATAAGCGCCAGCCCTGTTTTTAGCCTAAACACGATAAATCCTCAAATTCAATGAGCGCTCTACACAATCCAGCACGGCGGCACTCTGAACAGAGGTTTATTATGTTCATTCATTCCTCAAAATGAGTCCTAGTTTTCTAGTCGACTAGTAGTAGATCATTTAAGCCATTTGTATTATCAGTAATCGCATATATTGATTTAATTAAATGGGAGAGAAACCATATGAGCGTTTTTAATTGCCTATTCCGCATTTCAACGTATGCATAAAGCTTGCCACAAAGAACCGGCAAAAAGTAATGATTATCCATGAAACATTTGAATTGTTTATTAATAAACTAGTGTTTTCTGTCAGTGTCAGCAACAAAGATAAAGTTGATGATGCTTACTCGCCATCTTCGCAGTGAACGCGCATAGGCCTATAGAAACGCATACTTCGAATTAGCCTACATACGCAGAGAGTTGCCAATTTATTTTAGTTTTTAATTGTTTTGTTTAAAAGTAGATATTTAAAGCTTTCTGTAGCTTAGTTCTCAGGCCTGTGTGAGGCAAGCGTCGCGGTGTTTCGGTTCATATATGAGACGCGCTCCGGTTCACCTGCGCGCCTCTGTGTCCTGATTATATTGTCTGATATTTACTTCTAATGTATTAATCCAGTCAATTTGTCGATGAAACATTTATTAAAATGAAGATACAATTTATATGAAACGAAATTTACAAGCTTTCTACAAAACAAAACTTAATAAGTGGTCAAAATCATGTCTGACGCACTCCAAATATTTTCCGATATTGGGCAGCTTTTGAATTTTGATCCTATCTCACTCATCTCATGCGGTTCCCTTTTCATAGCCTACTCAACATAGATGAAATAATAAAAATAAGTAATGTAATATTATTAAAAACAAATGTGAAACGTATATTTTATGTTTATTTTTTTTAACTTATATTTAAGCGTCATGCTGCTCCGCTTTGCTCACATGTTATGTAGCCTGTGTGTGTGTGTGTGCATGTGCTGGAGGGGTGCCCATCCCTTTTTTGAATATCGTTATCATATATTGATCATTTTTAATAATTCGTTTTTTTTCATGCATATGTTGAAATTGGTACTATTTGTTTGAGGTTTGACTCTTTACTAAAAATGACTTTACTAAAAATGATACAAAAAAATGGATGGATTTATAGCGTTTTGGGAAAAAATAAAATTAACTTTTAAATTATCATTAACAATATTGTTGTTTGATTTAATAATTATTGTTCAAAATGTTCAGACTGAACCAATAAAACATTTAAACAGGATAATTTGATTATTCACAAAATGTGTGGGTCTAGGTAAAAAATGTAGTTTTCCTGAAAACTATTGAAATGGATTTATAGCGTTTTGGAAAAGAGCTCTTCATATATACACTACGTGTGTGCTCCTTCTCTTTGTGTTCAACTATGGTGTGAAACACGTCGATTTGATGCAGAAGTATAAATCACACTTTACAATCTCTTTATAAAACAGAACAAGGGGAACGTGTTGCTCTCAGGAGGTGGCTAGGAGCACATTGGCACACCTGTGACGTTGAAATCTGCATCTTTCCACTTGCAGAGGCTCTTTCCACAACACAACAGAAACTAGTATAAATGAGTGTATTAGTATCTACTGTAGATTTAGGAGACTAATGTCTTATTGCATTTTGTCGACTAAAACTAGACTAAAACTACAACAATTCAGATTACTAAAATATAATGGGTTTAGTTAAATTGTAATAAATTAATTTTAGAATTTCTCTAAAATTTCACTTTAAGAAATCGGATTATGTCCAATGACGTGCGGATCCAATTGCACTGATGCACATCCAATACACTCAAAACTAAGATATAACCAACATAGTTTAACTCAATACTCTCCAAAAGGGACATTTTGACAATGTTATATGTATTGTAAAGTATTTGTCCTTTCAGACACGAAAGAGAGTTCAGTTCAGTCCTCGCGCGCTGTGTGTGTATGTGCATGGCTGCACGCGTCGGGTGTGTGCGCACAGAATTTTTTTTGCGTTATCACACTTATTCATATCTATATGTCTGCTCTACTAATTCTCCCAGACGTTAAAATTTTTTAACCTTTTATGAGATACAACAGCACGTCAACTCGTGTGCCGCTGGGTAGATCATGTTACAGTACAAATGTGCGCATCTACCACAAATGGAGGACACATGTTCTGACTGGATCGATTCCCAAATTGTCAGTATCTAACATTTTTGTCTAGTTTTTATTCGTTGACGAAAATGTCAATAGATTTTCGTCAAAGCTTTTGTCATTCAAAACTAGTTTTTATTCAGTTATCGTCTCGTTTTCAATTATGGTAGGTTGTAGTTACTCACACATTGTGCTCGTAAATAATTTTGCCCGTTCTCACATATCGATTTTTAGGGGAAATGTAAATTGCATTGTAGAGCCGTGCATGATGGCTTTATTTGATGAACAAATTTACAACAATGTGCTCTTAAACAGACATTAAATTGCTTTCTTGACCCACGAAAACAGCATGAGAGTGAGTAAATGCAGAATTCAAATCTTTGGATGAATTACCCATTTACAGTTTGGGAATAGTAATTTTGACATGCTTTTTTGTGATTCATTGCATTTAATCATCTGAAGCGCTCGCACTGGAACGGCATGAAAGCACTTATGACTGGTCTTGCCCAAACGCGCTGAGTCAGCGACAGTTGCATTCTAATTGGGTATTATGAATTCATTTATTATTTTAAGTTAGGAAGAAAGCATGTATATTAACTCACCGGCCGTGGCTGCAATAGTGTCCCGATTGTCTCGCGAGTCGCCACTAACAGAGGGATGGTGACCCAGCACACACCGTCCATCAAGTTGAACCATGGAATCGTTCTCTGATTGAGAACGATTGATTAATTAATTGAATTAATTGATTAATTCAGGTGTGTCTGATTATTGTTGCCATGACTACTGAGGTCAGGTACACCTGAATTAATCAATTTGGCCAATAATGGCAGACAGGAAACAAGGAGCTGGCTGAAGTTCAGGAAGTAGTGCAGCTGGGCATAAAGCCCATTGCTGATGTTATTATTAGATTTTTCAGGTGAGATTCTCAATTCATTCAGTGAACGGATGCTCTGAGGTAAAGTTTTCAGAATGCAGACTCAGCAACGATTGTATTTAATTGTACAGTACAATCATAACATAGAACAGACATTATCTTCATTTCATGTCATTAAACATAACAATATTGCTGGCCATACACTGCTGAGAAAGTGCGCGTCCGGTGTTCGATAACGTTACTGTGGAGTTGTCCTAAACGTGGCGCGATGCTTCTCGTCCGGTGTGTTACCCCCTTTACAGCCAACAGTTCGCATTCCGAGAATAAATGAAAAGAATAATTGTGCTCCATTCCATAACAAATTTCACATTTTTATTTATATAGTGTATTATATAGTAAATGCGCGAAACAAGCTGACGTTTGTTGCTTGATAGACGCTAACGCACAACTACAACTACCGCATTTGTCCAGAACTACACGTAGTACGAGCGGAAACTGAGGTAAGCAGATATGACGCGATTGACTGGCGACTCCCAGCTCACCCCTGCTCATACGCCCCGTTTCCTTGGTTAAAATCTCAATTTTCTCGCGATTTAAACATTGTTTGAAACATTTGGAATATTGTGAGTTATTATCATAACAAAATAACACTAGCCTTGTGAGTTTGGGATATTTGAATGCAAAATTCCACCTTTAAGAATAAAAAACGGTGTTGTGCCGTCTATATTGGATCTGACAGGAATTGTGCAACACACAGACTATGGGTCGAATCATTCCGGTTGCCATTTTACAACATTGGACGTTTTCAAAACAATTTCCCCCAAGTACATCGACGGGTGAGTTGAAGCTCATTATAATATGCAAAACTGTTATCCACTCACAGCAGTGGGCGTTTACTTCCAAGTCTTCAGTGCGAGATGCCCATAAAAACCGAGCGTTTTTCAGGTAGGCTAAAAACTTGAGTACAAAATAGCTTATTACTTATTCATTTTGATGTTTTTGAATGCAAAAACCAAGCGAACGTCATAAGTTGACCTCAGACAACAATATAATGAAAGTTAAAAAGCCAGTTCATGACCACTTTAATATAAGACATGAATAAGTAGAGTGAACACACACTGACCCAACAAACACAAGCAGAGTGAGCACACTGACCCCAAAAAACAAACTGTTTGAGGGAGTTTGTGGCTGTGTTAATTGGCCCTAATACAGTAAAGAGCGCTGTACATATGAAATGTTTCTTATTTAATTTTTTTTTTCAACATTATAGAATTGCTTCAGACAATTGCCGTCACATCTGAAAACCCTTTCTGCATTTAGAGAATGACTGTTTGCTGCGGGCTGGGGAATGAACCAGGAACCCTGGTGGCTGCATCTGGGTAAGAACTTTCATTTCACTCTTTAAAGGGGCCATGTTTCATAATTTATAATCCATAATTTAAAGAAATTGGTCATTGTCTTTGCCCTTCTGTTTTAAACACTTAGTTTTAGGGTCATGTTTCCTTTAAATGCCCACTGCTATGCTTACGAAACAGCATTGGAAATATTAAATTAGCTTTAATAGATCAAGCAAATGAATTATAATGGTAGTCATCCTTCTGTGGTGTGACATTACTGTTGGGTCCAATATACTATTATTGCAACTGTATGTGATTAATCACATTACGATAACAGTCTCAGAAAATATCACAGTTTCACAGCATTACACAGTAAGTATTATTACCATTCACAACAACACTTAAATTAATGAAAACAGAAGGGCTTTTATACCACTATATAGTTTTATACCACAATATTTACTATACTGCATACAGTTTTGGTTAATTATAGTTGTTTGAGCCGCATTCTAAGCAGTTGTAAATGAATCACAAGCATACACATGACCTCATTACATTAGTGTTACTCTGCCACTGCACCTGTGTGTTGGAGTATCGGTGTGTTGGTTGACAACCTATCCGCTTCTGAAGAACTATAACTTACTGCTTGGCGGAAGAATTATATTTTTTATCAATAGCATTAGACTATAGTTTATTTTATGAAAGCTTGCCAGGTATGTGAAATAACCGTTTTATAAAAGCAATAAGCCAGTGAAGCCATGGTTTACAGTGAATTTAGAACACAGTGAAAATCTCTCTCTGGACTGGACTGAGTTATTTTATATTAGATTACTTTATTTATTTTCTGTAGTATTTCTGTACCCGAAAATTTTACAGCACTGTTTATTGCATTTGTTTCTTTATTCTCTTGTATAGGGATGGGACGGTATGAAAATTATAGTGTCTAAAATTATCGTGATTATCAATATTTCCACGGTTTTGTTAAAATGAGATGAAAGTGTTCAAAAAGAACTTATGATCACACTGAAAACATTTTTTATAATTGAAAATCAACAAACAACAAATAAAACAAGCAGCTCTATGCAGTTTTTTAAGCAAGATTTTGGCATTTCCTTCTTTATAATGCCTGTCGTCAATAGCAACGCATTATTACACAGTGACAGCGCACATCCATATAACAGTGCCCTCTCGTTTCATTCAAATACAACTTGCCGTCTTGCGTCTCTGGTTTTTGATTGTATTGAAAATGAAATCAGAGTTGATTTATTGTTTACAGAGTTTGATAATATTGGTGTGATATATCTTGTCTGGACGATTGTTTTATACAATGAATTTATTAATGGGTAAGATTTAAAACATTAGCTAATCTCATTCTCAATTCAATATGTTCCCATAATTATGTGGTAAAAATAAAATCGGTGTAATAAGTGATGTACAGTATCTATACATTACCATCTCTTACAGTGTCACTCTTAATGATAGTCTTATTTGAAATTGTTTGTCTTTGGCTCAAAGCCATTTGCTGCAACTTTTCTTCATGGAAGCTTCGTGTCTATTTCAAGTGAGTGACACAAAATGTTTCAATTCAAAACAACATTTCGTGCCCAATTGTTTCCCAGACGTAATTTTGGTATTGAGGTCAAAGTTAACCTGCCTTGCGTTCACTATAACGTTACAACAGTGGGTGATAGTCACACTAGACGACTCTGCAGATTTTAAGCGTTTCTATTGCAGTGACTTTTTGTTCGGCAGACAGGGTGACTATCCTCGATCAAGTTTCCCTCAGGACTTTTGTAAAAGCCAAAATATGACCACACCTCAGATTTGGTCCTATTAAAAGGCTGAAAAATCTCCCGGTCACGCGTGCTGCGCTCCTGCGTCAAGACTGTTGTTGGCCGACAGGATTTACAGTGAGTTTAAAATCGCGATAATCAAACACGGTTTTAATGATAATAAAATTTTGAACGTCAGTATATTTTATCGTGGTAATCGTCCCATCCCTACTCTTGTATGTATATGTGCTATTGCTTGTAGTTCATATTTTATTGCTCACAGTTTACTTTTTTATTTTTAATTTTTCATAAATTCAATTCAACGTTTGAAATCATGCTTTCTTGTACTGTGTGTATAGCCTGGTTCAACCAGACTCTACTAGTTCATTTCATTTCCACATAGAGTCTGGAACCGCTCCATTGAGAAACGTTTCCTTCCTTGTAGGCGGGTTCACTATTAAAGTTCAAATCTATTGGATCTGCCCAAAGTCACTCACGATCTGCCATAGCCAATCGCTAACGGGGTGTCGTGAGTGACGTATGTCACGCGCCGAAATGGCTGGAAACAACAAGTCCGAATGATCAGAGGATTATGTTTACAATAGGATTTCAGTCAACGAGCGCCGCAGGTTTTGTTAATCTAGGAACAATTATTAATTCGAAATGTATATTTGACACGAAGGACAGTGATATATTCATTCAACGGTGGAAGCTGTGTCATTACAAATACGCCGCTGTGGTCGTTTCTGATCTGCCGCAAATGCTGTAGCAGCTACAGTGAATGATCAGTCTGTCTCTATCTGCAGATGTGTAATAAACAACAATTTTTCATATTACGTCTTATTGTTTCTTAATTACCTTAATTATGGTCTTCAAAGTATGTGTTTGTACATTTTTAAATGGCATTTAGTTTTTTTAGTAAAACAAATCAACCATCGCCATCTAAAACTGATAATCAAATATCTTCAAAGTATGGTTTTTCACATTTTTATTTATGACAATTATTTTTTAAAAATCACAACCAATTTGTATGATTTACAACATGTAAAACTGACACACCAACCTCCTGCACGAGTGCACAAAGGGGCTCCAAATGTTCTATTCATCACAAGAATCAGTAAATTTACAGTTGGGAATATGAGCGACTGACATGACTCCTGAGCGGATCTTCAACCATAGTTTAGCAGCCAGGACTCGGGGCTTCCGCACACCGCGAACACCAGGCTAAACCGTCCGTCCAAAATGTCACGGTCATCGTGCACGAGCTGCCCAGCACAAACTTCCAAACTTTCTGCCTCCTTCACTTGGTCCTCCGTTGTGCAACAAGAGGTGAGACGATAACAATCCGGCTTTAAATTCTGTATATTCGGCAGTTTCTTTTCCAACAACGGACCGAATAGCTTTTCTCACGTCTTTCTCCTCTGCCATTACTGAACTCAAACTGACGCGCTTACATCAACGTCATCGTTCTCAGCCACTCCCTCTATTCGCTGATTGGTCCTACAAAAAATTGATTTCTGGAAACCTAAGGATATGGAGCGATCCCAGACGTTGTTACTGAAGTAAAATGAAATTGAGCGGAAGTGCGTAGGAGGGCGCAGCCAGGCTACTGTGTGTAAGCTATTGCAACAAAATTACTCCATGCCATAATTTAGAGTTGTGTGCTTTTACCTTTTTTTTAAAACTTCCTAACAATATATATATGAATTAACACATAAATATCACATAAAACTGAGCGAGATCATTTAAAAATGTTTAACAGATGTACATTCTTATCGCACACACTCCTACTATTGGTAGTACTACAGTTCCTCTCCTCCTACTATAGTTCTTTGATATGTCCCATCCCAACTTCATGTTTCATAAACACATAGATGAAAATTGTGCCCATCTAGCCAATTCACAGGACTTGAATAGCAATCCACATTTCCTGTTTTCCCTTTTATTGTCAAAATTTGATTTGTTCTTCAGGCCAGTTGTACACTGCTGAATTGTGTGTTGCATTTTAGGTATCAAATGGTCTGAAGAAGCCATGGGAAGCTGTTTTAGCTGTCCAGATAAAGAATCAATCCCTGACAATCACCAGAGTAAATTTAAGGTCAGTGTCTTTCAACATACTTGCATTACATTCTAATGATCTTGTTTGTGGTTGGTTGGCTATGTTTGCTGAGTCCACTTGGTTGTGTTGAGTTTGGTTTGGTGGATGTGTTCAGGTGGTGAATGTGGATGATGACGGGAATGAGCTGGGAGCAGGAATCATGGAGCTGACGGAGGATGAGCTGGTCCTACGCACACGGAAGTGTGATGCTGTCAAGTGGCCTTACCTGTGCCTGCGTCGCTATGGCTACGATTCAAATCTCTTCTCATTTGAGAGTGGTCGTCGTTGCCAGACAGGTCAAGGTAAAGCTAAAATCTCCCACTCTGGCACGTCATACTTAAATATAATTACCAGCTTTTAAGAAATGTATATTGTGAGACTTGGAAATAATTGGTACAGACGTTTCAGCCATTTGAAGGCATCCAAATTGAGGTCTGATCACCAGCTCTTTGCACAGTTTATTAATATACGACTGTTAACATTTGAACCCATGCTTTCAAAAGGATGAGCTTGAGAGCGTTTGCATGCTTGATCAGGTAAGTCCGACTTGATGTGCTCCCAACATTTAGATTCAACACTGCAGCCTCTTGCAGGATTAGCAAATGTTGGCTTTCCTGATAAGTATCAGAATAACGCTACATGTTTTGTGTTGTGTGTTTGTTTGTCCATCATAAGGTGTATTAGAGCTGCACGATTCTGGATAAATTATTATATTTTGTTTCAAACATAGATCATTAATCTCTCAAACAACTAAATAAAATAACCAGGGATGTGATTCTTTCAGATTAATCCGGAATTCCGGTTATATCAGGCTAAAATCATGACCCACGTGAATCATGCAGATCAGTAATAAAAAATGTCTCACTGCTGTGTTTCGGAGTTCACTTAGTAGAAAGCTAAGTGGGCACTGGTGATCAGACGCTGGGCAACATCGATACTGTGACTGACCGGTGAGTAAAATTATGGTCCAGGGATTACACGGTCATTAAAAACCTGGAAAGCTTTTGGAAAAATAAATAAACCCAGAAGGTTTTGGAAAAGTCATGGAAATTTTGTTTTTTTAAATGTATATAATAGAATATATTTAAAGGGATAGTTCACTTTGAAATTAATTTTTAATATGTTTTAGATTACCTCAAGTGCATCCAAGATGTAGGTGTTTTTATTTCCACAGTAGTTTCAATTTTCTATATTTTTAGGTCAAACCGTTTGTGTCTATCAGTCATATAATGGAGGTCTATGGGGTCCAGCTCAAAGAGCATGCACAGAGAGCATGCACATGAGGTCATGTGTATGCATGTTCCAATTTAAACATGATTCAATGACTCGTAAATGACACAAAACGAGCGGTATTTAAAATATTTATATTGTTTTTACCTCTTGTTACCACAGCCACAAAGCGCCTGCACCCTCAGATCACTTGGACATGGCTGTGGTTACAAGAGGTAAAACGATATAAATACTGTTAGTTTTCTCACACAAACCACTCGTTTCGTGTCTTAGGCCATCAATGTGTACTTACATTTACGAGTCATTTAATCATGTTTAATTTGGACTTCTCTGTCCATGCTCTTTGAGGTGGACCCCATAGACCTCCATTATATGACTGATAGACTCAAGCGGTTTGACCTAAAAATATCAAAATTGAAACTACTGTGGAAACAAAGACACCTACATCTTGGATGCCCTTGAGGTAAGCCAAAACATATCAAAAATTAATTTCCCTTTAAGTGATAATATTGGTTAAACAAACTACAATACTTAACGTTCATTCGATCCATCCGACTTCAGCATTTCCATCAAATTTCTTTGCTTTGTAACCAGTCAACGCTTTTCCGTTGAGTTAGTCATCGCTGAAGCGAAAAGTTTTGTTCAGTGCGTGCTCTCTCTGACTGAAACTTGCAAATTCTCCCAATCATAAACAACAAAGTGTAGACGTTCAATCTAAGAGGTTCATGTGGCAGTGTTGTCAGTTTCTGCGTTTTTTATGGGAGTTTTGTGAACTCGTGCTTGATTTATAAGTTATGGACCGCAATCGCTCCTGGCTCTGCGTATCTATTACACGAGTTCATGCTTTTTAATCTTTCACATGCATCTGGTATGCAAAATGTACCCGTTGGTAGAATTGGCTAGTAGTGTATATTTCATATCAAATGTACACTAAAAAGTGCGTATTGGAAGCACGCAAACCATGAACTCGAGCTATAAATATGCAGTACCAGGAGATTGGGCTCGATCAGTCACAATCTCTGCTCCATTTCTTTACAGTTTATTCCAGTTAATATATTTTATTCATCATGCTGATACGATTGTGTAGTCTTCATTTTCTAATGTGTAAAAAGCATTAATATAACTCATAAATTGTTCTTAGGTTGTTTTATCTGTGTAGCCAGAATATGATGTGCAGTTTCCCTAAACACAAATATTTTTATGTAGCCTCTTCCTAATGTAGAATCACGGTGGGTCTTAAAAAAATGCACAATCACATCTCTGATTACCTAATTTACTGAGGTTTTCAAAAGATGTCTATTTAAAATGTTTTCTTTTTTAATAAATGTGCAAAAATGTCAACAATTATGTGTTTTCTGTCAATATGGGATGCTGTGTGTACAATAATGAGGGTAAAAAATTAACTTAAATGATTTTAGCAAATGGCTGCAAAATAACAAAGAGTGAAAAATTTAATATATACTGTATGTACACTGACTACCAGTCAAAAGTTTTTAAATGAAGTCTCTTCTGCTCATCAAGGCTGCCTTATTTGATGGAAAAAATGACAAACAGTAATATTGTGAAATATTATTACAATTTAAAATGACGGTTTTCTATTTTAATATATTTTAAAATGTAATTTGAAAGCTGAATTTTCAACATCATTACTGTTGCTGATTACACATCAGTTTTCAGTGTCACATGATCCTTCAGAAATCATTCTAATATGCTGATTTTATGCTCAAAAAAACATAAATTATTATTTTCAATGTTGAAAACAGTCGTGTACCATTTTTTCCCCAAAAAATTCTATGATGAATGGAAAGTTCAAAAGAACAGCATTTATTTAAAATCTTTTCTAACATTATAAATGGCTTTACTGTAACTTTTGATCAATTTAACTCATCCTTGATGAATACAAGTATTTTCTAATTTCTCTCCCCCAAAAATAAAAAATAAATTCTTACTGACCCCAAACTTTTGAATTGTAGTGATTAATGTTACAAAAGCTTTCCATTTCAGATCAATTCTGTTCTTTTGAACTTTCTATTCATCAAAGAATCCTGAAATAAAAATGTAAAAAACTGTTTTCAACATGGATAATAATCATAAATGTTTCTTGAGCATCATATTATAATAATTTCTGTAGGATCATGTGACACTGGAGACTGGAGTAATGATGCTGTAAATTCAGCTTTGATCACAGGAATAAATTACACTTCACATATTCACATAGAAAACCACTGTTTTAAATTGTAATAATATTTCGCAATATTACTGTTTTTTTTCTATTTTTTTTATTATCAAATACTTCAAATACTTTTATCAAGACTTCTTTTAAAAACATAAAAAAAATCTTACCGATCTAAAATTTTTGACCGTAGTGTGTGTGTGTATATATATATATATATTTATGTATATATGCATGTGTGTGTGTATGTATATGTATATATATATATATTAGGGCTGTCAGTTTAACGCGTTATTAACGGCGTTAACACAAACCCATTTTAACAGCGTTAATTTTTTTATCGCGCGATTAACGGTCTTTTTGTCCTAGCAAACTTTGTAGTTTTTTCACATGCTTTTGCAACAGGACGCGGCATGCGTCCTGATCCATTTCGGCGTCTCGCGCTCGTCATCCACTCAAAGCCGGCTCGCAAGCCCAAACGTGTGTTTGCAGCATGCCTGTTGTTTTGTTATGGTATTGATCCGCTTGCGCTTTGGTCAAAGAAGCAACAAAACGTCCTCGCGTGGCACAAGCCATTGAAATGAAAGGGTTTCAGAGCGAGCCGGCCAAATAGTAACATTACTTTTGAGTGGATGATGAGCGCGAGACGCCGAAATGGATGCCCTAAAATTCTGAATGGAAAGTTTACTTTTAAAAAGTTGCCATATTATCCCATTGACAAGACCAAGTGATCTGTGTTTTGTCGTTGTGAACTGAGCTATCATCATCGCAGCACGTCCAGTCAGAAACACCACTTGATGATGGCCAAGCAAACACACACACACACACACAGATGATGCGAATTCTCCGCCCCCTCGCCAATATTAGGGCCTCGTCAGTATTTCTTTCACCCTTTTATTGATAGACAGTTTTACATTGCGTGAGAGATTATTTATAGGCTATATGTTAGTGTGAAATTGAACACTATTCCAATGTTATTTTCAATAATAATTTTTCCACTTTTCCATATTGATAAGAGCATTAAAATGAGAAAAAAAATAATGTAACAAAAAGAAATCAAGAGACATTTAGAATAGATAAAAATGTGCGATTAATCGCGAGTTAACTATGACATTAATGTGATTAATCGCGATTAAACATTTTAATCGTATATATATGCATGTATGTATGTATATGTGTGTGTATATACACTCAGCTAAAGAATTATTAGGAACCTGTTCAATTTCTCATTAATGGAATTATCTAATCAACCAATCACATGGCAGTTGCTTAAATGCATTTATGGTTGTGGTCCTGGTCAAGACAATCTCCTGAACTCCAAGCTGAATGTCAGAATGGGAAAGAAATGTGATTTAAGCAATTTTGAGCGTGGCATGGTTGTTGGTGCCAGGCGGGCCGGTCTGAGTATTTTACAATCTGCTCAGTCACTGGGATTTTTGCACACAACCGTTTCTAGGGTTTACAAAGAATGGTGTGAAAAGGGGAAAACATCCAGTATGTGGCAGTCCTGTGGGCGAAAATGCCTTGTTGATGCTAGAGGTCAGAGGAGAATGCGCCGAATGATTCAAGCTGATAAAAGAGTAACTTTGACTGAAATAACCACTCGTTACAACCGAGGTATGCAGCAAAGCATTTGTGAAGCCGCAACACACACAACCTTGAGGCGGATAGGCTACAACAGCAGAAGACTCCACCGGGTACCACTCATCTCTACAAATAGTAAAAAGAGACTAAAATTTGCTAGAGCTCACCAAAATTTTACAGTTGAGGACTGGGAAAATCTGTCCAAAAGAAGTTATAATCAACTAAAGATGTTACGATTCTGCCAGGAAGAGGATGTGTGTTTATATTTTCTTAATGAATGGTGAGGATGAAAGTTTGAGTGGCCAAAGACTCTTCAAGGATCACAGATGGAGAATTGCGGAGATTAGTTGAGTCTTGGGGGTCAGAAAGCCTAAAAAAATTATCAAACAACCCCTACATCCCCAAATGTTGTTTGAGAGGGTTTCAAGAAAAATCCTCCTCGCTCCTCCAAAAACAAACTCCAGCATATTCAGTGGTCAGACACGACTGGATCTTCAAACGGCACAGGGTTCTGTGGTCCGATGAAACTAAAAAAAGAGCTTTTTGGCAGCAAACACACTAGATGGGTTTTGTGGACATGAGGATAAAAAGTACCCCATGTGTACAATTTAAAATACCATTGGATGTTGGGGGCCTATTTTTCTGCAGGAGGTCCTGGACTTCTTATTCAGATACATGACATTGTGGATTCTATCAAATATCAACATAGGGCTGGGCGATATGGCCAAAAAATCATATCTCGATATTTTTTGGTCAAATGGCGATATACGATATACATCTCGGTACTTTCTACGTTTTCTATTTAGATAAAGAAAATCTTTATATTAAATATATATATATATATATATATATATATATATATATATATATATATATATACATATACAGTATATTCACATTCGGCCCAATGATATCCTACAAACAATGTTGATATTGAAGGATATGGAAACAAATATAATATAGGCTATGCAATATATTATGTGCAAAAAGCTTTTGTTTTTATATTGACTAAAAGCTAAACTAAAAATGAAAATAAAAACAAAAACAAAAGCACAAACTAATTATATTAGCCTGCATTTGATTACCCCATTATAATCACTTTCACTTTCATTAAAAATATATACTTGTAGGTTTAAAATTCCACATATGGCACATTTATTTTCTCCAACAACAAATATTTTAGCAATATGTTTATTTTAGTCAGAATTATTGCGTACTACGTAGTACTATTCACGCGCATGCGCGCGCCGGCGCTCGTTCAAGGAAGCATGAATTTTAGCGGAGATTCACTTGCAGAAGCTCGTCCTCTTCTGACATGGACATATTTGTTGTGAAATTGACATATTTGCTTTACTTTCTAACATTTACAGATGGAGAATATAACTGTGAAATGTAAGTTGAGCACTGAGGAAAGCACCACATCTCAAACGCATTAAACAGCGCAAGTATATCTGTCAGTCAGCAACAGTGTCTGTCAGAGCATTTGACAGGGCGGCAAGCTGCCTTAAACTTGTTAACTATATCAAAGTGATTTTGACGTAATTAATATAAGCTTGTGTCATGTTTAGGACAAATTGTACTACGTAGCCTAGCTACTTTCACTGCAGCAGCTCACACTGCAACCTCCGCTATTTTTCAGATGTGCTCATATCAAACTACTGTATCGATATAAACGGTATTGCCTCATTCCATATCGTTTCAAAAAATATAACGATACATCGTACATATTCGATATATCGCCCAGCCCTATATCAACAGATAAAAAATCAAAACCTGACGGCTTCTGATAGAAATCTTATAATGGGCAGTGGTTGGATCTTCCATCAGAACAACGATCCAAAACAAACATCAAAATCAACACAAAAATGTGTTAGGGAGCACAAAATGAAGCTTCTGCCTTGACCGTCCCTGACCCTGACCTGAACCATATAGAAAATCAGAGGGCTGAACTGAAGAGTAGAAGCACCAACATGGATCTGGGAATCTGAAGGATCTGGAGAGAGTCTGTATGGAGGACTGGTCTATGATCTCTTGTCAGGTGTTTTCCAAACTCATCAGGCATTATAGCAGAAAACTCAGAGCAGTTATCTTGGCAAAAGGAGATTGCAAAAAGGTATTTAATAAAAGGGTATGAATATTTTATAATGTGATCCCCCCCCCCCCCCCCCCACACTTTAAATTCTTTTACTTAAACGAAAGGTTGGGATTTTGCCAATTTTATGAATGAAAGACCAAAAGGATAAACAATGCAGATTTATTTTTCATTTTTGATCATATTTACCAGGGGTATGATTAATTCTGGGCTCGACTGTGTATATATATATATATTTATATATATGTGTGTGTGTGTGTGTGTGTGTGTGTACAGTATATATATGTCATACCTATACGTGACAAGTTACTGCTCTCTCTTGTCAGCAGCAGCGCCAATGCAAATTTAAATGTTCCGGTGTGATTTTGTCAAAAGTTTATTAGACACAGGTTAATTGTTGTTATTTATAAATGAGATTGTTTGGGTGTTTGAATCAATATTGCGACCTTTTAGCGATTTATCGTGCAGCTCTAAGGCCTGTGTATTAGAATATTGTTTTATTATTATATGCCACCATAGATGAAACAGTTAGCGTCCATTTTTGGTGTTTTTTTTTGGTAATCTGTTATAGCAGCACAGCAGACGTTTTTAACTGTTTGTGTTCACAATCTGCAGGGATATTTGCCTTCAAGTGTTCACGTGCTGAAGAGATTTTCAACATGCTGCAGGACATCATGCATAATAACAGCATCAGCGTAGTAGAGGAGCCGGTGTTTGAGCCCACCCTCACACCAGCTGAACCAGACCTGCCTCTGACACCACACACACCAACCAGTATGTCTACTCGTCATTTATTCATCTACATTTAATAAGAGCTCTGAATATGAACAGAAACATGTGACTTTGTACAGCTCCACCATCTAACCAAAGTTCTATAAAACACTCAAACATGTTTGGTTCTCCAGACTTGGTTTTGAATGTTAAACTAAATACTAGACCTGCACAATTCTGGATAAATTAACAGTCATGATTCTTTCGTTTAAAATAGAGATCATGATTTTGAATAGATTGTTAAACAAAATAACATGTCATTTTTAGAGGTTCTGACAAAATGTTAATTGCTGCAGTCTGTTTAAAAAATATTTAATTCGAATTCATTATTTATTTATTTTTAAAATTGGTTTGATTCAACGACTCACTCATAAAGAAGACTCATTACTGAATGAATAATGATTCAATGACAAATACATTTTTCAAATACAAGTCACCTTCTGGCGTAAGGATGTAATTGATGAGACAATCTTTGTTTGAAGTGTTATGTTACTTTCAAAAGGTGATTGACAGTATCTTGATATCTACTGGAGACATCAGTGTTTATATTCAAACTTTATACCAGTACTTAATAATTAGAATTATTGTAAGACAGAAATAATAATATTCTGTGGTTGAAAAGACTGTTTGTGAAGCTGTCTTCACAAGGTTTAATAAATATCTAGCTGAATCCTCATATAGAATCAGGATCGCATGGGCGTTTGAGTCAAGATCTCAATCTTTAAAGGATTAATCTACAGCTCTATTAAATACAGAAAAAATCTTTTCAAAATATTGTCAAGATCTTGAAGAGTAGCAATTATTATTTTAGGAGCTAGTCTTTTCTATAACTTACTGGGTGAATCTCATCAAACTTTTGTCATAGTGTCATATCTCACACTCTAAAAATATAAAAAACAAAAATAAGTATATTTGACTTAGAAGTATTTTTAAGACCGTTAGGATTTCTGTATTGTGACATTCCAGTTCTCATTATTGTAATGTAAAAATAAATTTCATTACAGCAACATGCAAAAAATATTCGAATTGTAAAGTACTGTATATCATGTTATTTTTATTTGTTGTTTAATTTATGCTGATTTACATAGATACAAAAATATTGTAATGCAGGAATGAGAGATGATCAGCTGATTAGCAGAGTACTCCATGGCCGTTCTCAGCTAGTATTAAGATTTATGTATTTTGATTGATCGGATTAAATGGACGACACTAAATACAGGTGTAAATGGGCTTTACAACATTTTGAGCTTGTTCACTTTCAAGCGGATTTCTTCAAGTGTTCGAAAACTGTAATATGTAATACCTAATATGTAAACATTATGGAAATACGTAATATGTAAACATTATGGAAAGCGGCTAGCCAGAGTGGATTTAAACCTTGTCGGCTGGAGTTCCAAGTTTGGTTTGAAGACGCACCAAGCACAATGTTTTCTCAGCATTCCTGAATTATGACACAAACTAACAGAGTTGGGCGTGATTTTGCCGCTGTCAGAGCGGAACGAAAGCTGCTGCTCGCCGTATCTTTTATGTCTCTGTGCGCGCTCATATACATTTAAAAAATCCATTAAATTGAAAGATCTGGGGAAAAAAAAACATCCATTTACCCGCCCATATAGGGCTGCACGATTCTTGCTAAAATGTGAATCACGATATTTCTCCATGGGAATTGAGATCTCGATTCTCTTACACGATTCTCTTTTTTTTCCATCCAAAATGTATTGCACTCAAGTAAAAAAAAAAAAAAAAAACACAAGACAGTCTAATAAAGTGCAGTAACAAAAAAAATCTAAATTGTTTAAGCTGGTTCTTTGGGGCTAGCCTATGTAGCTGTCTGTGTATTAGTCATGAACTAAAAGTAAGTGTAGGCTATATTTAATATTTTCTGGCTAGTTTACTATAGCTTTTTTTATAATCAGACATCACACTTTAACCCAAACTGAATAATTACAAACAAGTTTAAATGGGTAGCCTAAATCTTCTATAAATATTTGAGTCTTCATATCTAAAACTCTCCAAAATGCTCTATGTGAAACTGCGGTTTTCCAAACTTTCGTGTTGTTTGAAGACCTCTCTCTCTCTCTCTCTCTCTCTCTCTCTCCGCCCTTTCAAGTGCAGCAGTTTCTATTCTACATCATCACTCGCCGATCAAACTAGGCTTTGGCGGGACTAATATGTGCTAAAGCGGCCTCCAAAAAGCAGACGATCTGACGGTTTTAGAAGATTAACAAACCGAAATTAAAAAACAGACCCGCCCTATTTGAGACGAGCTTTTATTTACCCAAACCTGCAGCCACACAGGCATGTAAAAGATACAGGCGTCTATGGGACTCGGCTATTATTTTTATATAAGTTTTAAGGTACTTCAGTTCTTGTTAAAACTGACTAGACATTGTGTGAAACTACTTTTTGAGTGAAATCATTAATTTTGTCCCTCAAAAGTGTGCTTTCACTTTAATTGAGCGCGCGTTTCACTGCTGCTCACGCGCTGCCCCTGCGCCCGGTGAATACTTTGATTAACATGCAAGCCCAAAAAAAATATGCGCTGCTCACGTGCAACAACTTTAATTTAGACATTCCCTGATGAAACCTCCGCATGATTGATTTGTGAATTATTGTTTTGTTTTTGTGTGAGTGTGACCAATATAACGCGTAAATGCAGCATGATCAGGGAAATGCACGGAAGTGAATCGCCATCATTAAGAAAGGAGATCGCATTTATGTTTGAATCGAGATCGTGATTTTTTTTCGATTAATCGTGCAGCCCTACGCCCATAGACCTTCCCCTTGAAGAAATCAGGACAGAATTGGTTGAAAATGGACAAAAGAGACTCCCGGTGTAAACAGGAATGTGTCTCCCTCGTCTACTACTTGTGATGTTCGACCAAAACCCATCTTAGTACCAGGTGTAAATACAGGGCCTGTGATCTGAGCTGGGTGTGTCCAATAACGAAAACATCCAAAATGTATAGTGCTGGAAGCCTTCAGGAACAGTCTGAAAACTATTGCATTATGGTAATGACAAATAAGCATATTTTCCACCCAAGTTCTAAAGAAATTGTCTAAAGAAAAGTAAAGTCACTTTTATATAGCGCATTTTGCAATACAGATTGTTTCAAAGCAGCTTTGCAGAGATAACAGGAAAATAATGCCAAAAAGTTTGTTTCCAGAAGAAAATAGCATCACAGTGCAGTTTAATTAAGTTCAGTGATGTTTAATTTTATTAATTTTTTATCTGAAGCATCTATAGTGTTAGTTATATCATGTCTAATAAACCTTTATTTTAGTTAGTTATTTTTATTTAATTTTCTTTTCTGTCTGGTTACTTGTAAGATCTGGTTACTTGTATGTCAAATGCAGTGTTTTTTGTAATAAATTCATATACAAAAATGTAAATAAATATATATAGATAATGCCTTATTTATTTTTTGCTTGCATGTTTTATTGTTTGATTTAGCTCCTGGCATCATTCTCCCCACCTTACCAAATGGCAGCTTACGGTATCCCTCACTGGGCGATGCATCTTCTCACCCCTCTACTCGGCATCCATCCGTGGGGAGCACATGCCTTCCCTCACTGGGCGAGGAGTCCACACACCCTCTCTTAGCTGCAGAAGAGGCTGTAAGGGTAGGTGGAAACTACTATTTTACATTTTATATTGTGTAAATATATTTTAGGAAGCAAAATATAAACTTGCATTGTACCTGCATAATGGATGTGAATAAAACATGCAAAATATAGCTACAATCAATAAAAAAACAAATATTCCATAACAGAATGCAACCAAATGAGAACATGTCAAGGCAGAACTATGCATGGAAGTTCGATAAATGGATGAAATTCAGAGTCACAATGTTGTGGTACAGTGTCAGTGATTAGTTGTGAAATCTTACTGCATAAATTTAATATATTTAATCCTCTATATGAAAGTTTATGTGATTGAATTATTTCTATTTATTAAACAATATTTCAAAACAAGACTTTTGTAGTAGGCCTAGGCCTACTGAGTGTTGGAGTCCATTAATTGAACTTTCATGCCTCTTATATATTACTATGTAGTATGTACCAATTCATTAATGCAGTTTACTAATGCTCACACTCGGTCTCTCTCGCGCGCAGACACAATCGGTATCTCTCGCGCGCACTTTCAATCAGTCTCTCTCGCACGCAGACACACTCGGTATCGCCTTGCGCGCAGACACACTCGGTATCTCTAGCGCACTTTCGAGCGCGCTCTTCGTCTCTTTCGTGTCGCTCGTGCGCGCGCAGACACACTCGGTCTCTCGCGCGCACTGGAGGCTCATGGAGGCACGTGATAAGACAGTTGTTTACGGAGCACTAAAAAAAACTTTGAAACGGAGCGTTCTGTGAACGGAGCGACGCATTTTAAACATCGCTCGATCACGCGAATTTGATCGTGGGAAGCCAAAATCGTGATTAAAATTCGATTAATCGTGCAGCCCTAGGATGTATCATTTTCTATGTGTATGCTAGGGGTTGAACCGACTAGTCGATTAGTCGACTAGTCGACCTTAATGCAATGCCGTGACGCTTTTAGCTTGACGTCGACTAGTCGTGTTGATCATGTGACACTATATGATTGCGCTAATTTTTAATATGGCCGCGTTAAAGACGACAACAGATGAAGAGCCCAGATGGGTCATTGCAGCAAGAAAGCAGCATTGGCACATAAAGCGTATGGAAGTAGCCTACTTTACTAACGTAGCACCACTATATTGTTGAAAAAGAAAGTAAAAGCATGACGCACGCTCTCTGTTTTACCGGGAAATACGAGCAGTGTCTTTTAAAATTATTCAAACATTAGCCTATTTTTTTCATATATTTATTTAAACATATTAATGCATCTAATTCACCCGCAATCAATAGGAATAGTATTTGGTATTACTTAGATCCATCACTAACGTGCAGATGTGAATTTATAGCTTTCTTTTCATCCTGATGATGTAAACAGCGGGCTGTTTAGCTAACGTTACATCTGGCCACTTCACGTGTTTCTGTGATCTGATTGCTATCCGTTCGCGAAAAGACCAGGTATAAGATAAATGCCCTCCGAAACGCATTCGAGAAGGATTTAAATCCGATCGCTCAAACCACTTCATGAGGAGGTCTGGGTCGCTTTACAGACGAAACTGGACTCGTGTAAAGGCATCTGGTTGTTGAAACCGCAATTGGACTTCTCCCAAAAATGCTGAAATAAAACGTGTGAGAGCAGCCTGTGCTATTATATTCATGACGAAGCTATAACACGCACCGCAGCTGAGCATCTAACGTTATTCATAAAGCCAACATCGTAAATCAAAGTGAAAGTAAGTCACAGCCCAGATAGCAGACTGACATTGAATCAACGTGGAAATATGACATCGAAACAACGTTGATCTGACATTGTTTTGCTCATCGAATTAACGTTGAACCAACGTCAGACGCGTCATTCTTTCAAAATTAACGGAAAATCAACTTGAAATCAACGCGTTGTTTCAACGTTATGAAAGCAAACCGATTTTCGATTTTCATTTAGCTTTGAAGAATGCAGCGTCTGACGTTGGTTCAACGTTAATTCGATGATCAAAATCAACGTTGTTTCAATGTCATGAGAGACGTCGTTTCCACGTTGATTCAATGTCAGTTTGCTGTCTGGGAGACGCTTAACACACAATCATCTTCGTTAAAAGTAAAGAAACAAAATGATCTTACCAGTGCTGTCTCTCTTATTGCGGTCTTTGATTGTGAAATTAGCTGATGATCAATAGATCATTACTGTTGCTTTTTTGGTGACGTGAACTTCGTTAAATCTGCATATAGCGCGTTGTTTGAAGATCGGATGCGAAAACATGTGACCAGGTGTAAATGGAATAGTTTTGATAAATCAGGTCACTAAAAAAGCATGAAGTGTCCAGGTGTAAACGGCCCCATTATGAGCTGTCAGCGTCTGTATAATTTTCTGTTAATTAATTGCAAATTGTGGCATGTTGCAAATCTGTCACATCTCTTGTGTTTTTATGAATGACGTCAGCGACTAGTCGACGCCGACTCGACTTTGATGTCATAACAGTCGACTTCAAAAAATCTGAAGTCGTTCAACCCCTAGTGTATGCCAGGTGAAAGAGATGTGTTAAAGAGTGTTTTTAGTCTAATATAAACTGACAGAGTGTTTGCTTCCTGGACAATGTTAGGAAGACTGTTCCAGAGTTTATGTGCTAAATAGGAAAAAGATCTACCGCCAGCAGTCGATTTTGATATTTTAGGTATTATCAACTGGCCAGAGTTTTGAGATCGCAATAGACGTGAAGGACTATAATGCCTTAAGAGCTCATTCAAGTACTGGGGAGCTAAACCATTTAGTAATTTGTAAGTATCATCAACATTACAGTGAAAACTAATCCCATGCTTCCTAATGATATCTCCCAAGGGTAGCATATACAGTGTGAACAGTAATGGTCTTAGTACTGAGCCTTGTGGTACTCCATACTGAACTTGTGATCGATAAGACATTTCTTCATTTACTGCTACAAACTGATAACGGTCAGATGAGTATGATTTGAACCATGCTAATGCAATTCCACTAATGCCAACATAATTTTCCAGTCTATTTAAAAGAATGTTGGGGTCAATGGTATCAAATGCACCACTAAGGTCAATTAACACTAATAGAGAGGTAATAGAGAGATAATAGAGCCTTGTCTGAAGATCTTAATCTGGATGACAGAGTAAGAAGATCTTTAATATAAAATGGAGCTTGATCATTAAGAGCTTTAAAAACAAACAAGAAGTTTTTAAACTGAATTCTAAAATGGATCAGGAGCCAATGAAGCGATGCTAAATGATCCACCCTAATCATATTCCTTTGTCCCGGTCAGCAGCCTTGCAGCTGCATTTTGTACCAACTGTAGGCGTCCAAGTGATTACTGAGGAAGACCCAGATACAATGAGTTACAGTAATATAAGTCTGAGGTAATAAAAGCATGAGAAAATGATTGCTCAGCTCCATAATAATACTACTCAATTTCTATTCAGTTTTGGAGAACCAAAAACAATTGTTTCTGATTTGTCCTCATTAAATTGGAGAACTTTCCAATAAAGGTTGAAATGAATGCCAGCTTTCAATGGCAGGTACAGCTGTGAATCATCAGCATAAAAATTAAACGAAACATTGGGCTTCTTAATAATATACCCCAGTGGATGCATATATAAGTTAAAAAGAAGCAGACCCAAAATAGAGCCCTGAGGAGCTCCACTAATAATACATAGTTCCCACATGACGTCACAACATACAGGCATTTGCCGACCTGGCTGCATTGCTATGGGCAGGACATTAGAAGAAGCAATACGAGTTAAACGAAGTGAAATGAGTTTTGTGCTAAAAAGTGAAAAATGGTCATGTTCTGCTGGGTCAATGGATGTTCAAATCGTCCCAGAGGTTCAGTTAAAGGTGGAATACCTAAGATTTTTGCATTAAAATATCCCAAAATCACAAGGCCAGTGTTATATATTTAGTAAAGATGATAACTCACAATATTCCAAATGTTTCAAACAATGTTTAAATCGTGAGAAAATTGAGATTTTAACCAAGGAAACGGGACGTGTGAGCAGGGGTGAGCTGGGAGTCGCCAGTCAATCGCGTCATATCCGCTTACCTCAGTTTCCGCTCGTACTACGCGTAGTCCTGGACAAATGCGATAGTTGTAGTTGTGAGTTAGCGTCTATCAAACGACAGCTTGTTTCGCGCATTTGTTATGGAATGGAGCACAATTATTCTTTTCATTTATTCTCGGAATGCGAACTGTTGGCTGTAAAGGGGGTAACACACCGGACGAGAAGCGCCGCGCCACGTTTAGGTCAACTCCACAGTAACGTTATCGAACACCGGACGCGCACTTTCTCAGCAGTGCATGGCCAGCAATAGTGTTATGTTTAATGACAGAAAATGAAGATAATGTCTGTTCTATGTCTGTTCTATGTTATGATTGTACTGTACAATTAAATACAATCGTTGCTGAGTCTGCATTCTGAAAACGTTACCTCAGAGCATCCGTTCACTGAATGAATTGAGAATCTCACCTGAAAAATCTAATAATAACATCAGCAATTGTCATTCAAGCAGCTAATTTCTGTAAATCACTGCAAAACTAAATGCATATTGCAGCATAGGGCAAAGTCAGGATCCATTAGCAACGGTTTGAGACAAAAATAATTAAAATTTTATATAAAACTATGTAAATGGCGCTCTGTGGCGCAGCAGGATTTTGAACACGGTCCTGAAACGTTGCTGGGCGCCGCGGACAGACGCCGAATGGCGCCGCCGGTATGTGTAGGCCTACACTTATAGATAATAATGTGTTCGAATAATTATGTGGTGCCCCTTCAAACCCTCTCCACCATAGCTTCGTCCAGTGACTCGTACAGTAACTCATTTACTTTTAAACCTGACTTTTCTTGCGCGGTTATTTCAGTTTAATGAAAAACAAGCATGTCATTAAATGCAACGTTTATAGAAATCGAACTTTACCTCATCCATGACAACTAATTTTCGATTCCCGTCTGACTGATTTATCCACAGTGGAGTTGAAAACAACAGTTCCCATCATTCCGCGTTCCTCCACGTCGTCATC